TGTTAAACCTGTCAATCCAAAGGTTCCTAATAGCTGAAAAGCAGTTAACAAGCAATATCCAAAAGTGATTAGAAAAGAAACTGTGCGAACCCAGTGTCCTTTTGAAGGCTCTGACCGTAGTTTGAGCAAGATGGTTATTACCTCATCTCCCAGAGCTCTAAACCAGCTGGAGACCACTGTCTTGCCGTCTCCTCATGTGGAGCAACTGTCTTGAAGAGCTAGCTTGTTTAAGCAGCCTTTCTTCCAGATGTTAATTTAAAAATGCAGGTCAGTTACAGGACATCATGCACAGTGCTTGCTATGCAGGAACTGCAGGAAACAGCATGAAGTCCACAGGTATCTATCTCAGTTCTTAAATCTGAGGAATAACGGTGGGCATTATGTGCTCTTAATAGCAATTCTTTCTCCTTGTAATCAGGGAGATTAACACAGTTTCTCTGAACTGGGAAACCTTGATCTGTTTCTGCATCTGATTTCTTTGTGTCTTGGATTTTCAGCGTCTGCAGCTTTTTGGCAAGGACCTCAAGAAACCCTTAAGGTTCCTATTCATTCCCAGGTAGGTGTGGGGTGATACACTCATTTTAAATGAGGAAGATCAGCAGGAAGGATAAATTAGTAAATCTCTTTAGCATCCAATTATGTGTGGCAGGCAAGTAATGGTGTTTCCTGGATTGCTTCAGCATTTTTAGCCCTTATTTTGCCCATGTTGAAGAAGAAACATTTCTCCAGAAGATTGCACTGTCCAATGATCAGAGTGCCTTGATTTCTGGAGTAGCTACATAAAAAGCCCAAATAATAACTTAGAAAGTTTTTTTTTCTCTTCCACTTACAAGGATCAACTGAAGCGTACATTCATATTAGTAAATGCTCTCAAATGTTTTCTAGCCCAGTGGGAATGTCTGTAGCTTCCTGATTTAAATAATTTCATATAGCAACCTAGCTATTTTCATTATATAAATATCCAGGAAAAAGAATTCCAATTTTTTCTCATATAATTCACTCCTTGAACGGTTTTCCATAAATTTAAGACTCACCCCTATGTGTGTTTATTTGGGGTGTACAGTTCTGTGGATTTGAAAGCAAAAAGGGCTCCTCTGCCCTCTGCAGCTGCATCTTTTCCCAGGCTTGCACATCTGCCCTCTGCAGCTGCAGTTCAGTTGTGGGAAAAGGTGCACTACATTTAAGGAGCTGCAGACACATGCTTCATGTGAACACCTTTTTGCTTTTGAATCCACAGCACTACCCAGCGCTTCAGTTTATGGATTGAATCACTTATTTATATTGCTTAGAAAAAGCTATCGTAGCTCCTGGTACTTGGGGAAGACTCCACACCCGGCTTGCCTTTATTAAGACCAGTGAAATGAGTACAAAAGCTTGTGCAAATTCTCAAGAACCCTTTATGAGATTGAGAATCAATAAACTGGAATGGAGAAGGATGTATACATTTTAAAAAATATGCTGGATATTTAAAGCCATGAGGTCTGTCATTCTTTCTCAGGCCCTGATCTCAGAGCCCCATCTCCTGAGCTCACCTAATAATGCTGACTATGAGAAAAGAATGGCAGGAGTGCAAGCACAGCTTCGAGAGACCCTGGCAACATATCAGGCCGAGCTGTTGAGTGCCCAAACTCACCTCACTGAGCTTGAAGTTCAGGTAAGGGCATTGTGCAAATAATTCAGATAGAAATGGGCCCTGCTTAGAAATAGAAAGTTGGGTAGAAATAAGGCTTCTTGTTAGTTTTTTTCAATACAAAAGCACTGGTTTATATACCAAAGACAGGCAAGAGGCTTTTTTGGAGGAAGGGCTACACTGATAATTGAGAACCCCTTCCAGTAGGAAGGATGAGTAGTGAGCAGGGACAGGACTCTCATGCACACATATCACATTCTTGTAATCATTCCTACAACTAAACATTCATTCTCACATACACTTCCATAACCATAAAGCTATGTACATCATAACCACACACTTACTTTCTTTTCACATATCTACACATATATGCACCTCATGTTTATCTACAAGAAGAGGCTTTAATTGCCTCCCTCAGAATCCTTAGGTAGGGGACAGGTTTTGCCTCCTCCTCTTCCAGCAGTTCATATCAAGGTTACTAGTTACGTTTATACTACATTGGGCCTCCCTCCCTCCCTCCCTCCCTCCCTCCCTCTTTCTTTCTTTCTTTCTTTCTTTCTTTCT